GGGGGGGAAGGGGAGGGGAGGGGGGGTGAAAGAGATCGAAGTCTCCTGTTATTCCTTCCACCAGTCTGAATCTCCAGACTTCCTACCATCCCCAAGTCGGGAAGAATTTTGAAGGCGTATCTAGCGCGCGCATCATCCCATGATGCATAGAGTGCTGCTGCCCCTTATCTGGCAGACACCCGTTATATTAATCTTCCTGCGAGACTTAAACGCTGCTCGTGGCAAACTTTTATGAGATACGCATTCGTTATCCGCAGCGTAAGTATAGCGGATACGTTCTAGTATGTTGGCTTCTAGCTATACCAATCCGCCCTCCTGTAATTCGATTATTATTCTCAAGTTATCACGAATGGCGCATCTGACGAAACTGATAGTCCGATATTCCGATATTCCGATATTCCGATATTCCCATATCCGGATATCATGATGTATTGTACGATAGCAGCACAGCTGCGCGACGACGTTTACACGCACCCCAGGCCACTCTGCAAAGGGACTCGATACCTATCGATCTATGATCCAGCCATCCATCCACATTCTCTTGTGTCCTACAAGGTCTCCAAGTTCAAGTGACATCTTTCAATGCATATAAAGCGGCGGAGTGGCACTTTCGGTATGTCATTTTGCTCTGATTGGGTTGTGATGGGTTCTGATGGGTTGTGATGGCTCGTTAGGTTCGATTGCGGTTCGATTGCCTTTTTCTAGGGATCAGAGAAAAGAAGGTTTATTCCCCCGGTGGCTTTCCATAGCTCGAATTCCTTTGTGGCAGCATAACAGGGCAAAAGTCGAGAGGCAGAGAGGCAGATAGATACACAGAGAGATGGATGAGGAGAGAGAGAGAGAGAGAGAGAGAGAGAGAGAAGGGGAAGGGGAAGATAGAGGAGGACGAGGAGTCTCGCCAGAATCGCTGCTGAATTATCCCACCACTCGAAGAGAATTCTTCTATCGGACTCTGCACTGAGTGAGACTTACATCGGAGATGTTTGAACAAAGATTACCGCATTCTTAGATTTTCTCTCGGGACGGAGATTAAATCTGTACACGAGAGCAGTCGGCCCGGTGTCATTTTTTAGTCTCCTAGTAACCCGACACCGTCGGCCGTTTTCATTGTAAGACTAGACGAGACGCGGCGAATAGTCCAACGACTGTCTAATCTACCTGGATCCAGCTTTTTACATATATATGCGTATAAAATTTGAGGCGAAAAGTCCAACGCGTTGATTTGTCTCTTCTTCATTTTTCATCAATTACGCTCGAGATAAAGTGAAGTTCTTCCCCCTTTCCGTCCAACATATGTTCCTCCTCCTATTGCTTCTACTGCTCCTCTTTTTCCCACGTTTCAGTCGACAGCGTCGCTTTAACGCGATAACGACGCCGGTTTTGTCGGCTATGACGATCATTTCGATTCTCTAGAAGAGAAGGACGCTGTTCAGTCTCATCGAGAAAGAGAGAGAAAGAGATAGGATAGAAGAGAAGAGAAGAGAATAGAAAAGAGAGAGAGAGAGAGAGAGAGAGAGAGAGAGAGAGAGAGAGAGAGAGAGAGATAAGCTCTCGTGTGGAGAAGAATAGTAATGCAACAGAAGACAGAGTTAAGGACTTTGGCTTTGCCAAGTCTAAAGGAAGGCCCTAGAAGAAGCCTGAAGAAAATTTCGAGACGCTGCTGTCCCTCCTTTCCCGCTGCCAACCCTCTATGGACAATGAGACTGTATAATGTCAATAGAGTGATGCGGCTGAAATACCGGATAGGCAGCCTAATGACAGCCTTCACAATGAAATCATTTTCATAAATTTAAGTCCAAAGCTCGCTTAGTCATAACTCTACGCGAGTTTCCTTCCTTCCTCCCGTCGACTCTTGCTCCCTCAGTGTCTGGGAGGCATAATGGACCAATTACCACATCTCGGGAGCATATCGTACGCACTGAGTACATAACGCGCAGTCATAGATTGAGTTTGATCTTAACAACAATGATGTCTCTCAGTCCTAGACGACTTATTATCAAGACAAATAGTAGAACTCGTCAAAAATATGAACAACTGCATTGATGCCTCGTCATCTTCCAGGGAGAATATTAACGTGCTTCCTACATTCGATCTTCTTCTCTTTCTCTGATATTTTTTACATTTAAAAAGATTCTCAAGTCTATGGCTCTTAAAATCGTGTGGGTTAATGAAGGTAGCCCTAATGTGAAGTAATATTAGAGAAATGACGAATCTCTTACCTGTACGGTATCAGAAATTGACTTCGGTCTTCGTTTCTACTTTCCATTGTCAAGCTACACCATGCACAGAACATATTTTCAAGACTCGCGATTGCGGATTGGCTGCAGGAGCTCATGCAAACTGATGGCACTAGAAGAAAAACGTTAGCTGTGTAGAGCTCTGAGAGCTACAGTCGGTTACAATGCTCCGCGAAAAAAAAAAAGAAACATAATCTAAGAAAAACTGAGAATCGACGTTCCAAACAATACTTCAGATTAATGTAGGTAAATTTATGCAAAAAGTTTAACTGAAAAAGTTGTAAGAAACAATAAATTTGTAAAGTTGCACTTTTTAAAACCATTGTTTTTTCAATATGCTTTCTCTTGAAGTTTCGAGCGAAAAAATTATCCAGCTATATGACTGATCACCACTTTTCACGCTTCCCACTTTTTCACATCTTAATGATGACTATTGGACAGTATGCGTTGTCTAGATTATTATTAAGCTATCATGTATACGAACAATAAACCTAAGAACCAATTTTAACCTACAAACTTTGGACTCTTCTCATAGTATAAGTACTTCAGGATCTTACGATGATGGAATGATCACCAACGGCAGAAGAGAGGTCGGTGACGTACCGACCGCGCCAACGCGATTGGTACCTCCACAAGCCACTAGGTGAGGCTACAGTGGTTATTCGCCACCGAGCGAAAGACATGGCGATAAGGATACAGTCCTTACATGTATGCCGACGGGGCGATATCCTAGTCAAACAGCAAATAAATAAAGAAATTGATACTGTTCATATGTGTTAACGTGTATGCGATTCTTCATTTACTGTTTTCGGTATCTCATGAATTATCCCGTGGGTCAGTTTGAACGGACGAAGTTTTCCTGTCCCTCGCAATTATACGTATACGTATACTTATAACGTTGAGTGTAGATAGGTACCGATCTACACTCAACGCTTATAATAACCTTACAGATTTATTAATTAAGCGCAACCTATTGGATAAGTTTGGAACTACGAATGCTCGAATGAAGTATATTATAATCGTGCAAATTTCTGGTGGAAGACACAAAAGTAATTCTGTCAGGAATCAATGAAGTTAGGCTATAATTCCTCGAAGGAATTAATTTTCTCAATCAGGTTAGATTTTTACATATGCATCAAATTTTAGTAAAGTTACTGATATATGATCGTTTCATGAAGAGTACTTAACTGGCAGATATGTCAAATTCGCTTGTACAAAAAAGTCTGGAATTGTTTGGTTACGAGAAAGATTCCAAACAAGGTAAACGTGAAGCGAGCACGACGTTAAAAAAAATTGAAATGTAATGTTGCTTGTCGTCCATGTACATTCGATAACGTATTCAATTTTTTAGGTAAAAAAAGAAAGCTCAAAAGATACCGGGGTGTATTGGATTTAATTCCAACGCAACACAAGGTTGTTTCAAAGCGTAAAAAGTCTGGTAAGTAGAAATTTTTAACTATAATGATAATTGATACCTTAACTAAAATATCTTCACTAACTGTCAATTTATACCTTAAATTATAGATGACAATATAGTTATAAGTAGATCAAGTAAGATCACTGTGCACGAAGCCAAGAAGCAATTGGAGACCAAAAGTGATCCTACAGAAGAGAATGTTCAGCGCCTTCTTATTCTAAGTAACAATCGAATTGATACTAAAACAACGGATACGGTACATGCTTCATTGCAACACATTTATCACAGTTTTATCATAAATTGCCTCAGTTATTTAAACATTAATTATTTTATTACCATTTCAGTTGCTAGAGCGTGCACTAAAAAAGCAGCGCAAATCCAAACCAATAAAGGAGACACAGAATGAAAGTAGCGCATTCACTGAAGCAGACTTCATAAAGTTCGAAAAAGAATTTTTAGGGTCATAAATACTTGATGCAAATAAACAGTTGCTGTGCCACTAAATAGTTATTCAGTGATGTTAGAAAGCGATCGTGAAAAAGGCAAAGCAATTCTAATTTTAATTTCCGCTATTTTTCTATATTATTCCATCTGGGTAATCGGACTACCATTTATAGATGACAGTAGACTCCGTTCTTTGTTCTATAATCACAATGTTGCCTTATTGATTCCTGCTATTGTTGGTTTATGCTTCATTGGTGGTTTAGTGTTATTTACAGTCTACCATGTCAAACCACATTTAGCGATATGCAAATCACCGGAAAAGTACGAAAAATGTGTTTATTATAACAAAATGTAGATATATATATATATAAAAATATATTCCACAGTTCCATTCATTACATTCGATATACTTCCAACGAGTTGTCGCAAAATCAAAATATTTTATTTTGCCTGAAAAAATCTTTTTGCACCATCCCTGATCAATAGTCTATATGCTGAAACTTGTTTCTTTATTCGTTTACATAACCGTCCTGATAACTAATTGCTTTTTGAGCGAATACTCTTTATTACGTCATTCACAACTGGATTCTCTGATCTCTTTGATCTTTGGCGTGTATTACAATAGCGTGACACTCAATGTCGGCGTCTCATTCGTGCTAGAACGGATTGTAAAGTGAAATCCCTAAGTAAAGTAGAATGATGAATAAAAAACTTGTGATCGGAATTGCCGGTATAACGTGCAGTGGCAAAAGTACTTTAGCTACTAAAATTCAATCGTTAATACCAGATTCGATAATTCTCAATCAAGACGATTATTTTCTGCCAGCTGACGATCCTCGACATGTTTACATTGCTGAATTACATCATCAAAACTGGGATATAATCACGAGTGTGGACATGGAGAAAATGTATACGGATCTATTAAAATGGATAAATAACGATATTGAGCAGTCTAGTCCGAGCGTTCAAACTCGAGTTCTTATATTAGAGGGATTCTTGATCTTCAACTACGAACCAATCGCAAATTTGTGCAACATGAAATTTTTCCTGACACTGAATAAGGAAGAGTGCTGGGAGCGAAGAAAAGAGCGCAGCTACGATCCTCCGGACGTTCCAGGTTACTTTGAGATGGTCGTATGGCCGGAATACATCAGACACAAATCCGAACTTGACCAAAACAAGAAACTGTACGATTCGATTGTTTTTATTGATGGCTCCCGAACGCAGCAAGACATTTTCAACATAGTTTCATCAGCTATCATAGAGCGATTAGCTTAATCATACTTCCAAATATTTCATTGATAAAGATGAAATCTATTATGTTAATTCACGGTTCAGAAGGATACAAGAATTAATTAAAATGGACAATAAAACTTCCTTTGTCGAATAAAGAAGTGTTAGATTCAGTCTTTTATTATATACTTTTGCAGTAAGTTTTTATTTAAGTCCAGTTAGTCAATAATTGTGCCCAATAAATGTTCCGGCTGAAATTAATTACGTCTAGTTCTTGTCATAAAAAGCAAACTTTACTTACCTGGCATATTTGTGCATCGAGCGATTTCCTGCTGATCTACATATACTAACTCAAACCTCTCTCTCTCTCTCTCTCTCTCTATATATATATATATATACACACACATTCATTGAAGTGGATACTAAATAAGGTGCTATTAATCATACATAGTTTGCGAATGCCGGGCGGTTTAGTTTCTCCCAGGTTGATTCGCATCTTCCGATTATTAGGTAAGAGCCTAAATAAATCGGCGAGGATTTGAAATTTCATTTCCTCTATATATTAAACCTGAATCTGATGATACGCCGTGCAACAACCAATCTTCTATCATATTTTACATCTTTTCAAAAAATTCCACTACATTTTTCCATGTTTTCTCACATTTGATTCAATCAAAGATATATTGGCAAATGGTTAGTGATTAATGGATGCAACATGTAGCTTCTTTTCAATAATTGACTATTATGTATCCTGCAATATTACTGCAAGCATCAAATTCCTGAAATCGACAAGATGAAAAACCACTCACAGTATCTGTGCAAGTGACTACAGAGAAATTCAGTCTTATTAAAAAATTAAGCTCTATTTCGAATTGTCAATGAATATTTTGCAAACTATTCACAACACAATTGTCGAAGCCCAGAGTCTTTCATAAAATCTTGACCAACCACGAGGTAACTTATTGCGCCGATTCTCCATACTTTATGCTGTCCAGTTAACACATTTTCATGGTCATTTCATCTTATTACTACCTCTTACTCGAGCATTTAAATTCACGGACTGTTTGAATTACGTGTCATCAAAGATGCGCACAAAAATTTGTCCACATACGCATCGCTTTGAACAGATATTTCATTATTCTTTTCCTTTTTTCTTCTTTTTTTTAATAAAGATAACGCACAACGACGTGTGTATGTTACATAGAATAGGTGTTGTGTTTTGGCTGGCCCTGCGCGTTTGGTGCGATAGTTGACGGTGATCCGGTTGTCTGGTCATCCTGATCATTTTGACCACAAGCTTTACGTACATATTGTGGCGTTACTATTACTTCCTCCTCCATTTCAAGCACCCGCTTATCAAGCTCAGCACACGCGGCCATCTCCTTCTCAAGCTTGGCAAGCATCCTGGGTGAATTGTATTTTTCAGGATCGTCATGGAATACCACCATGCCGTCCTTCTGATTGATCGTCGCAAAGATCTCTCCGTCCTCGATCTGAAAGTACAGCACTCCGTAAACAACGTTACAAATTCCGGTGTCTACATATTGCAAAACCGAAGATACAAACAACTCTGTGTCTCTGATAATTACCATATTGAGAATGTATTTCTCTGCGTCGGCAGGACCCGGAAGTTGAACTCTACTCGCAACGTCGCTCAAACTGAGCGTCAAAAAAGTTTTCGTCAGCCTCTGTATGTTCTTCTTGTACAAATAACTAAGTACCTGTTTGACTAAACCCATATTATGGTCTCTCACAAACACCTCTTGATACTTAGTGATAACTAATTGAACCTCATCACAACTGTTCGTCCAGTAAGCGGTAATCAGGTCTTGGTAAGCCTGACTCAAGGGTTTAATAAATCTGTTCACTACCTGACTGGCGTATTTCGGCACAATCAATACTTTCCCAGGCAAAATCAATGAGACCAAAATGTACTTCTTATAAGCCTCAAGCATAATGTGACTAACTGCCATTGCGGGCGTTGTCACGCACACTTCAAAAAAGTATAATGCCCGATCATAGTTCTTAAGCGCTGTGTATATCATCCCACCATAATAGTAATAGAGCAAAAAGTACTTTGAGTCAAACTGTCCACCTTCTTGGCTAATTCCAGTAATGTCTGTATCAAGAAATTCAAGCGCAGGCTTAAAGCACTTCGACAAAAGGCAAAGCTGGCAGAAATCAGCATGTATCGAAGTTAGCTGACTATCAAATAACTGGATTTTACGAATTGCACGATGTAGCAATTCAATACCACGTATGGGCACGTGAAGGTCAATCAATGATTGAGTGAGCAGATGACACAATTCTGCATCTAATAACACAGAAGAAATTAGATCGATTTAAAGCTCCCAATTAAGTAGCATAGCAATTTCAGATACCTCAAAGGTAATGAATGAATCACATAAAAATTATTGAGAAATAATAGTTACATGTTTCCGGGGCAAATCGAACTTGTTCTCCATTGCATCCTAGAATGAATTCTTGCACTTGATTGAACAACGGCTTGTAGGCATCAGGGTTGCGTGCACCACTTGGACTAGGTAGTGAAAATTTTACACATAACACTGCCAAAATACCCAACGAATGTTGTTGCAAATCCAATGTCTCTAGAACATTATCTAGATGTTGACCATTCTTCATTAATACATCCGTAGACTTGCTTATAACATCACATAGCTCCCGAAAGTTTCCTGAAAAAATCAATATTTTTTCATAGTGATTACCCAATAAATAAATGGCAATACTAATAGATTAATGTATGTAGTTTGCTTTTATGCATGCCAATAAACCATAAATATTTTTTGTTCTTTAACAGGTATACCACTTGTGTTCTTTGACACGCTTGATTTAGATTATTATTAATAAGCATACAACAAACTAAGGTTATACGAGGCAATAATTTGGCATGTAGACTCATATTATTGATTTAAATGAACACTGTGAAAATATACAATAATGCAGTTAAAATATAACATTGCATTAAACATCAAATAAAACTTTGTCAAGTTCAGAAAGTACAGATGAAATACAATCTTATTTATGAACAAAGAATGTTGGACAGAGAATTCGAGGTTAACTTCTGCAACTCGAAGAATGAAAGATTCCAGGTTACTCGCAAATACCTTGCGCCGAGAGCGTCCGGACATTATTTACAAACTGCTCCAGTGCCGACGCCATTACTGCTGATCTTTTCTTTTCATCACCACTTCTGATTTGTTCAAATTGTATTTACAAGGTATTGGAGCGAGTGAATGATCAAACGATCGAGGAAGGTGACGTTTTGAAAGGGACGGCTGGGCGACTGCAGCGCCCCAAGAAATGCTCCTATTTTTCAAAACTGTTTAAAATACACCGGTACTTTAAATCTACCCTAATAATATAAAAACATCCTGAGAATATTCTTGGAACATCGTGTTAAATTATATTCTGATTATTTTTATTAAGAATGTTCTAACTTGAACTTGAACATGGTTATTGGTACATACATAAAAGTCGGACGATTTTACTTGCACATTTCGGCCTATTTCGAAAACCGCCATCTGTGCTTATATTTAACAGTGTAATCGATAATTCAAAAGATAAATATACATATATATATATATATATTTATCAATAACTTAACTGTACTCGCGTGAGAAGCAACAATTGATGTGTTTGTTAGTTTGACAATGGATAGCGGGGATACTTGGTCAGCGATTCGAACAACCCTTCGCAAAAGAAGAGTTGCCTTCGATTACCTTGGAGTGGAAGTTTGTCGCCAGGCAACTCAGTTCACCGGTTGTGTTCCCTATATTCAACTAGGCGTGTCGACGGTAGATTCTGCTCAACCGTGCTAGATTGCTATACTGGATTAAAAGTGTTATAAAGGACTACAAAGGTTTGTTAAAATGTCGAACGCCACCTATAACGAATTGTGGGATCAAGCTCAAAGTGCTTTACACGAGGTGATTCAAGCTGATACGACTCTCCAGGGATCCAGGCCGCAGAAAGACCGCAACAAAGCGCATAAAAGCGTCGCCGACCTCTACGTTAGATATATTGAGATCTGTAACAAGTTAAATCAGTGCTACGATCAAATTATTCAACCCCAAAAAAGAATATTGATAAGGAAGCTTCTTGATTCGAGCATCGGTCGAGTACTCGAGCTGAAGCACGAACTAGTCGACATTGACATATCCGAGCACAGTTACTTCGACGACATATTACTAAAATATGGAGTTACGCCTCAGGAGGCGGAAGTTGTTGTGCCGAATTACTTCCGGAGAGAACGCCAGAGTGAAATAGAGGAGAGACGGAAATTCATAGAAAATACCCTGAGGAAGTTGGGCGCCTTTAACGAGGAAGCTACCCCCAGAAAAATGTCCGAGATCGAAGCCATAAGACTGATACAAGTGCGCTTATAAACTTTCAATTTTCAATTTTTAAAGATGGAGACATTTGATTCCTTTAAAACACCTGTTACTATTAAAAAAACGAAAAGTTCTATAATTTGTTCTCCTAGACGCATGAACGAGCAAGGCAGGGACGAGTGAGATTCCAATTTATGAAAGAGATTCGGGAAATGAAAGAGAAGTCGACGATAAAATCTGAAACGGAGGAGGAGGATGCTGCCGGTGGAATAGCAGCTGCCCTCAGGATCCAAAAGGTCTGGAGAGGCTACATTACCAGACGTAGAGTACGAAGAAGACGTATAGACGAGATGCTCCTGATCGGTAACTACATCAAAACCTACATATAAACATTCAGAACACTCACAGCGAATGAAAGTTCCTAATAGGTAAAAGTAAGAAATCGCGAAGCATAATAGAGAGCAATTACACACAGGTATGGTTCAGCCGAGCCAAGTGATAACCGAGAATGCAAGGCAGGCTGAGCGCATTAAGCTCTATAGGCATCGAAAACAAATGGAATATCAAGAACTTTACGCTAATCTAGCGCTCGAGACGAAGGAGCGCATTAGTAGAGAGAAAAGTGCGATAATTGAGGAAAACTTGAGAAGCCAAATTCGCAAATGGATCAATAGCTCTTTTCAGGAAACTGGAAAAATACCAGAATTACCATCAGCCGAGAGCGGTGGTTCCCGTATAATATTTAGCAGACAGGTGAGCCATTCAAGCTGGAGTAGGGAATCGAGATCACATACTCGCTTCAAATAGAAAGAATGCAAAGTTTGGTAGAGGCAAAGTGAGACGTGATTTTTCATTCAGGGAACCGAGAGCACAATTAGTAAATCAACGGGAGTCTCCTCGAAGGAGTCCAAGAAGTCTAAGAGGAGCAAAACGAAGAAGGAAGGTGATCTTGAACAATCGGAAGACGAGTCGGATCCAGGATTCAAGCCGATACCTTCAAACTTTTTGCCGGAAATTGTGCAAGCAACGCAGGACTATCAGGAGGTCTGGAAAAGCAAAGATGAGTCGGCGAATCTCGAGCAGCGGCCTTACCTTGACATGATCGAAGACGAGAAAAGTAGAGAGGTCGAGGAAGAAGTCAGACTCATAGTCGATCAAGCCTTACGCGGTATAGTAATTTGCTCAGCCTATAGTTATTTATGTGATCATTATCTTACTTGTTCTTCATAGTTACCTTCCCCTTCGACACAGGTGACATAGAGGCTCTTCAAGCAGCTCTTGATCGGGACCGGGGTCATAAGGGCAAGCGGGTCAAAAAAACCCAAAAAAGACTCCGTAGAAGTGGAAAAAAGAACAAACGCAAGAAAGAGAAAGACCTGACCCCAGATAGAACGACAGAGTCGCTATTTGAAGAACTAATCTCTAATGGCATTATCAAACTCCATCCCGAAATACGATTAGGAAACTTCAAGGGCGAGAAATCTTTTGCCAATTATCAACTTAGGGAGAAGGGAAAGGATCCTCTGCCAGCTCTGGGTGAGTCGATCCTTGAAGGGCTATCGACCTTCAGGTACTCGTACATATCTGATATATTTTAAATTCGTGAACACGTGATTCTGACAGGTGACATCAGACAGTTGGTAGCAGAGTACTGCATTCTTCCACTAGGCAACCTCATCCTCCGCCAACTTAGTCCATTGGTACGTTCCGTCCTGATAGGAGGTCCTCACGGGAGTGGAAAGAAAATGCTCGTGCATGCCATCTGCACCGAATTGGGAGCAACTCTTTTTGATATCACTCCGGCAAATATTGTTGGGAAATATCCTGGAAAATCGGGACTTATCATGCTACTTCACCTGATATCAAAGGTATTAGAGATTATAAAAGGACGACTTACATAAGATATTTGACGAATGATCTAAATGCATAAATAAATTCATACTGTGAAAGGTATCACGACTTCTACAGCCGTCGGTAATTTTCATGGAGGACGCCGAAAAGCCTTTCGTAAAAAAGATTTCAAAAATGGACAAGACTGATCCTAAGCGCCTGAAGAAAGATCTCCCAAAATTGGTTAAAGGTATCACCGGAGAGGATCGGGTAATTCTCGTAGGAACGTCTAGCTCTCCTTGGGAAGCTGATCAGAAGCTCCTCTATCAAACGTACGACAAAGCTATCTATATACCCCGACCAGACTATGGAACAATGTCTCTCCTCTGGAAGGATTTACTATACAAAGTGCGTTAAAATCGTTATTAATTATTACTCTTCGTCGTCGCCCACCTGATCATCCTATTTCATATGTAAGATAGATTCAAATAACTCTCATCGTGAATGAATGTCCACAGTACGCAGGGATCAGCAGACAGTTCGATACTTCAGCCATGAGCAAGGTCTGCGATGGATTCACGGTTGGCACTGTACTCCAAGCCATTGACGAGGTAGATTTTATATTCTTCTGACATTATCGGCGATTTTCGACATGTGCTTCTGATTAAAAATTCTAGGTGATGACCACAAAGAGGATGGTGCAATTGAGAGTACAGCCATTGACCCACGGTGAGCTGGTGAATGCCTTGAGCGCAAAGGAGCCGGTTTACCGCGAAGAGGAAGACGCCTTTCTTAGTAAATATCTGACAAGCGAACACATCTCTTTTCAATTTGTAAGCATATTAACCGATTTATCCGAATTATCCGAATTGCTTATCTTACAGCCTGGTTTTCGAAGACGCCAACATGTCGAAAGAAACAGAGAGCGATTGAGATCGAGCAACAAAAACTTGAGGAAGCAAACGAAAAGAATAAGAAAGGGAAAAAGTAAGACACGGGCGCAGAGAAGGACAATTGAGCAACCGATGCGAATTAGAAGGTTGCACTTTACGATACATCATACGCTGCATAAAGATACAAAAAGACTTAGAGTAATCGAGTATTAGCAAAAATATAAAATAATAACGCAAGAAGATGCGTTTAATTGTCGAATTTGTAGATTAAAACTAGTTGACCGGCGAACCTCCGGTCTTTGTCAAGAAGAAACAAGGCACACGTCAGTCCGTCGGAGTTCCAGTTAAAAATCCATGCTAGAAGGAATCAGAGAATTTATACGTAACTATGTATAGAAATAATGTGCATGGTGCATTTAATAATAGGTGTGAATGAACAAGGATGAAGTGTAAACAGGAGTGCAACGGCAATAAAGGAAGAGAGTAGAGAGGTTACAAGAATAAATGAGAAGAGATTTAAAGACGGACGAAGAGCAAAAAATAAAGAGAAATTTATCATCCACAGTGTTTCAAGGGCTCACGGAGATCGATGACTTCAAGTTTCATAATCTGCGCCTGCCAACGACAAGTGAACCAATGTATCGACCAAGTTCAAGAGTTCGCGATAGCCGCCAGTTATCATTTGTCGCCTAACCAAATGAAGTCATGATCCTTGCATGCGCTGTCTGTGATTTCTCCTTCGAGAAATCTAATCGTTGCAACGTGCTTCTATCACCCTTGACCCATGATTAACTAATTTGCACGTGTCCAAGCCTATTCATATGTGATTCGTTACATGACTATTCCATCGATGAAATATCACCAAATTATTGCAGGATCTCTTATCGAAGTGATCTTCAGGCTAATATCTATAATATAAAAATGAGCATTGCCATTAACATGGCAATGAGAGAGATTTGGCAATTATTACATGAGAATGGAGTTTCGATTTAATTATCAGTCAGATCAATGTCGGGGCGCGCTCTCGAACAATTTAAGATGTCCTTGTTCATAATTTTATTACGTCTCAACATTAGTATGGACTTAGGTGAATCTTGTCGTATGACAATTTGTAATGGTAAAATATAGTCATAGGTGATATATTAACATACATATATTGATAAATACTAGAATGTAATTACGACATGCACGTGAAGTTCACGTGGGCTTGTTAAACTTGATATAAAATATAACTAACCTTTTTGCGTCGCCTCCAGGTATCTACACAGACGTCACTAAAAAATATCTTATTCATGCATGTTTGATCCCAAAAGTATGAACGTCCGAAAGAGGAATGTCATCGTCATTAACATTCCTAACTCCTGTATTGTAGCAGCACGGATAAATCCAACAAGTTTGAAAAGAGGTACTCTTTACTTGTACAACATAAACTGAAAGTGATAAAAACCATTGACCTCGCAGTACAGATCTCAAGACGCGAAGGACCGAAGTTGCGCAGTTAGCAAGAATTCAGAATCATTCGTTAATACGTTGCAACGGACTAGGCACGTCAGACATATCCAAAGAAGTACAGGCACCTCGTAGACGGAGAAGGAATAACCGAAGATCATGATCGATCGTTTGAAACCTTAGAAATACGCCTTGTCGCCTCATTACCACTCCGTGGTAGCCCATCGAATCGAGACCAATCGGGATGTTCAGTTGAGGTGACAAACGACCTACAAATAATTATTCTTTCTCCGACTGCTCTCACCCCTAGATTGTTGTTTATGGCCACGGTGTCATGGCGATGATGCCAATCTGGCATCCGCCAGCTCTAAACTTCTTTCATTAGGTCCATTCGTGAAAGATTTTTTACTTACTACGAGCATTATAGGTGTGTTAGAAAATGAGCCGAGAGCGCTGAGAGCATCTTGTGTCTCGATCAAATACATGCAATAAACAAAGAAACAACGATGCACCCTGCACTCTCGGTTGACCTTCGAACATACTTATAGTGCTTCGGAGCACGGATGGGGACCTCCTGTTAAAAACTTTAGTAGCTAATCGATTGCATAAGCTTGTACGACCATATTCATGTCGAATCGATATCCCGCAAACATGAAGTAATAGTTAAAAATGTGCCATGTTCAAATTTCCTACTCAAGCATGGAATAGTTATGAGACGTCTCATGTGAATACGCAACTATTACATTTCCGAAGAGGAATTGAGGAAATTGTAGCATCGGCAATCTGTACTTGTTACTTTGTGTTTAGTGGGTAGAAACACTGATCAAAGTGTGCCCTTCCAGGTTAGCCAAAAAGAAGAAGATGAAGAATAGCGGAAGCGCAATTACTACGATCACTGATTAGCTTAAGCAAATTGACACGGCGCGGGGATATTTGCGCCTCGTCGAGAACTCTATTACGCGCTGGTTGGGATCAAAGTGCTGGCGTCGCTGGCTGCATCATGAGTCAAGCAAAATCGCGTGGTTGCGATGAAAAAATGAATGCTCGACCTCGCATGTGTCCTCTGCGAGGTTATTTGGATAATTCAGATTTCGTTATCAATGCTCGTCCCTTGTGTCTTCTCCCCCGTCTTGCTCTTCTCTTGCTCCTTCGCATTACTCTCCGGTTTCAATTCTCTTTGGCAAATAGTTACGATCTAATAAGATTTGCACTCGATGATTTTTCCTAATTCCCGCTCCTTTTCCATCGAGACAATGAGGAGAAGAAGAAATACTCGATCCGATACTCTGCCGAGTCTTTAGATATCTGAATTACGCCAAAGATCCTTTCACCTTTACGTGACGACATTGGATAAATTTTCAAAAAAGGTACATAAATTCTCATATTTAGATGTGTACTCAGTGCGTGCGTCACACGTGTCTCTATGTACGCGACATGCGACATTCGTATTTCTGCGTTGCTTCTCACTCTTGGACTGTCCAGTACACCTGCACTAGGGCCAAACTCTCTAGCATTTATTATTTGTTCCCATCCATACAACTGGATGCTACTGCTACTCATGACATATAACAGCTAATATCACTCGTGCTACATGCATGGTAGCAGCCTAAAGAACTCCGGCCACAATACCATAAGACCTATTACTTGCCTCCTGGTAAACGGCTGTCGGTACGCTTCGGCGCGTCTCTAAAACTCAACTCTTCTACACTGGAAAGGGTTGAGCAACCCGTAAAAATTAAAAACATACGTGATTCTCGAAGAAACTGTTTTGAAAAGTCGTTCTTATGAAACTGCTAAAAGATTTTTCATTGAAGACAATTCTGACGCTGCTCTGATGCCATGGGCTGCTGAGCGCTTCTAACGTATCAAGAAATAAGCCAATCTTTTTTCAAATATTCTTTGAGTGTGCACTGTGTTGATTCACATTGGTGTCAGAGCGGCTAGGAAATCTCGCAACGTGGACAAATGTTCGTATCGTCAAAAAGTCGATGAGGCCGAGTGTCAGGGTCGACCGAGGGTGGAGAGGGCCAGAGAGAACTCCAACGTACGGTGTATCGATCTCCGCGTGCTCGGACCATGTCGCATTCGCACTGAAAAGATATTCATGCATGTCCATCCGCAGGAGTGATAACGAAAGTATTACATTAAAAAAAATGAGATGTCTGGCGGCATGTGACGGATGCGTGATATCGACGAAAGTGCTCGAGCCAGTTGTGGAATGAACAATTGCTAATTGATTATCGGTAATAATAGATAAAAAATTAATAGGCAATAATAAAGAATAGGGATTGTGGCTAAGGGAATGGGCAGGTGAAGCACATGTGCCATGTGCCGAGTATGACATGTCCAGTGGTGTCATTTTTGAGCACGAGTACTAGAAAGATTATAAACACGAGAAACACGAGAAACACGAGGAACACGAGGATTCCTCTCACGTCAGTAGCAGCAGGAGTTGGTAGGAGAGTTGGTAGGAGTTGGTAGGAGCCACGTTCGACTCGCTGAAACGGTTGATGGACGACGCGCATGCTCTGGTATGAGCCGGCTGCCGATTGGCCGGCGCCACATGGTCTGATGTCAGACCACGGGCCAGGCCCAATTCAATAATAAAGAGATGCTCGCGACCGAGACGCCAGCTAGTCCTTAACGACGCGCCGGGACACTCGTGCGGGATAACGATCTTAAGAAACAACGTCGCTTGTCTCGCTTTCTGATTGTATGCCATCTACTGCGGTCGTTTATTATTTATTATTTGTTGTAAGAGTTGTTGAATGATACACCCTCCTAACAAACTACTTCTTCGTTGCTGCTTCACCAACTCTCAGGATTATATCCACGCGATAGGTAAGTTATAGACATACAATTTTACCAAATTTTGTCATTTGTACGATATTTTCAATCTGCACGACAGACAGACCCATGTTAAGTTTCCGTTCCAAATCATTTGATATCTTCTTATCGCAGGTAAATTCTTATTAACGTCATTAGTCACTTAAAGATATCGGTTTGTTTCTACGGTCTATTATTAATATCACGGTAATACTGTCGGGATCCACTGAAAGTTTATTCATGTCTGGAATTGATGAAATTTTGTGTGGTATCGATTAATTAATAACAATTCATTCATGCCATGTGGAGGAACGTGCATTGCGAACACGTCTGACGCGACACATTTTTACTACTGATACTGTTTCGAATAGCGGCATATTATCGAGTCGTGGCTGTCAACCATCTCTTGTCCTGCAAACATTGGCCTCTACTTGAGCAATAAAAAGTTGCGCGGGGGAATTGGAAAAAGCTTAAAGAGGAAAAATAATATAAATAAAAAAAAAAGGAGAAAGAATAAAGTTTTTTCATTTGTGGGTCAATTATTGCAAAAAAATGTATGAAGTCTTTATTACGTCGTTCGTTGCATTAATATTAATTTCTAATTATTGATAATGTTTTAGTTGCGCGAACGACACCTGTCCTCGGCAGGATAAGGAAATAGATTTATTTGACACAGTTTGCTCAAGCTATTTGGAAATATCAAACATATTCGTGATTAAAATTTTTATGTTTCTGACATGTCACGTGTCACCGACTCATCGTTTACCTGCGCGAGTTCGCGTAATATCACACTAAATAAACATATTGTAGAATGGTTGCGTAAAATCAGGATGAGTATTGATTTGTTTTGACGTAGTTGCAAATTATCCTGTCGACAGTAATCGATGATGGCAGCTCTTCCTCGCTGAAGCAGCAGGTGGTACGCACAGACGACATTTTTATATTGTCTCCTATTATAGTTTACATTAAAATATGTAGTCAATCCATGAATTCAATGTGTATTTGACACATCGAAAAAAAAAAATATAAGCAAACCGCATGCCATTCTGCATACCATTTTTGTGACAAACTCTGTCTATATTATTTTTCTATTTGAGCATATATTTCCGTGATGTTATGGAAAGTCACCTACGATTTGCTAAGGATTACATTATTTGAAGACTGTCAAAACATACATTAAACTCGTGTACAGACTATGATGTAGTTTGAAGCATCGGTAGAAAACTCTTAGAAATGTAAATCGCGATGCTCGATGACGTTAGCGATTACGTCAAACATACACAACGGGCGCTCAAAGTTTATAGTCGGTCCACGAATTCAATCTTTGCAAGTCGCCTAGCGCGTGCCAGCAACATAGAGGAGGATAGCACAATTTGGACAGGGAGTCACTAATGATTGCTGCGTCAGAACCCTGTATCTAAAACGAAGAAAAGGATGAAATTTAGTTGCTATCCGCCGACTATCTCGCAGAATGATTGTTCAATAAGTAAGAAGATTTTGAAAAAAATGTCTTGGTAGTACTGTCATTGGTACTATGGAGTGGGCTTCTCGCGTCGTGAATCAAATTTCCAAGTAACGAGATATGTAGATATATGGGAAGTCTCACGCGGTAGCCACGTGTTCTAAAAATGTAAATACAGTTCCGCATAAAGAGTTACACGTGCCAAATATAACACAAACGCCGCAAAGCACCGATCGATCGGAGCTTCCGATAAAACATTTTGTGTCAAATGTCGACCCGAGTCGAATGACCGAGCGGCCTAGAAAATCATTGAAAGCTTATCAAAGATGACTCTAATAGAGTTGATTAACTTGTTCACCGTGAACTTCCTGGCGAGTTCATGATCACTAATCATTGTCACGTGACACTTTTGACGACACTTTCGATAATTCAACGTCGCGATTTGTACACGCAGCAAGACTCGCTGATTGCGGCAATGATGACCTCGATTCTAATTGATAGCCCCTTACTGAAAACCGATTACTATATATGTATCTCTCTGCCCCCTCCCCCCTCCCCCCCAACCAAAAATCTAATCTTTTAATATTTCGGTGCTTTGGCATTCGAAGAGATTGGTCGAGTAGAGTGAAGAACATGCAATTAGTTGAGGATTTGACCATAGTGGCCATCGACTTCACGTGGCCAAACCGCGATATCAATCTGTTTACTAACACGCTTGACCTCCGAAGCAGTATCAAGTTTCCATGATTGCGCACTCGATCCTTTGTAATGTGCCAATATCAAAATGTAACGATACAGGCCAGAGTGACTGCAAATGATACTTTGTAATTGTACGAAAAAGCAGAATTCCTTAAACGTTGATCGCGTACACTGGCAATATTCATTAATTGCGTGTATCTATTAACTCTGATTTGTAAAGGCGGACTTGTAATTATGCCGAATACAAATGACAACTCGGAGGTATCCGCTTTACTAATTGGTATTGAGTTGCAACGACCAATTGTCAAAAGATTTTGCGAAAATGTTTACTTCTGTTTATTCGATTTTCTCATTCTCCATGTCCGCTGCTGTCTGCTTCCTCGTTACTACTATTGTAGTTCCTTTAGAAATTTGCGTACGTTACGACGTTCATCGTGACCATTGTGAGAAATCAGCAAAGCTACGTTTTGGGTTGGTAGCTGTCAAGGCCAGGAAATTCACCGCTAGAGCAATAGGTTAATGACACACGGTGGGTTGCTCAACATTAAGTAGTACGAAGAAAGACAAGTGCGAGAGAGAGAGAGAGAGAGAGAGAGAGAGAGAGAGAGAGAGAGAGAGAGAGCGCAACCAGCAGGACTTTGTCTTCGCTACAATCACACAGTTCCTTCGCTTCCTTCGCTCCTGTTGCATCACTCGAATTACTTGACTCATTCGATCCACTCGAATCGGGACACGTTCTACCTTGCCTCGGATAAAAACGGCACAATCGTCATTCAGCAAGTGATTCGTGCGATTAAGCTCCTAGGACTTGTTGAGTGGTAATGCTTTTCTCGTATATTCTAAATTTCATTAGATTCTCGACTTACCCTCTTATCCGTTTGACCTGCTATGTCGCCCCCGTCGCGGCCCAGCCGATCCGCAACTCACTGGTTGGGCCGCTTTGTCGTTTGATCCGGAGTGTGCCTCGTGTCAACGAGACACATCAGTATCTTATTAAAGGTTAAAAGTTAATTTGCAATTCAATCTGATTGAGTGTGGCATAAAAGCTTATAAAATTCATGTGTAGTCGTAGAATGTGCTACTAATACTAGACACGATGTACGTAAGAATGCATAATTACATGAACTCATAAATAATTATCATAAATAAAATTTTGATTATTCCAATTACTACCAACTGGTGAATTTGCTCGAGAATCTTTTGTCAAAGAAACCCACTAATATCGGTGTTATCGCATATGCAAACAGGTATCGCTACCAGTGGTCTTAACTGAAATTCTTAAGAAATTATCAATAGCCACTTTCTTGTAATATGACAAATGAATGATTTATAAAATACATCTATTTAGAGAGAGAGAGAGAGAGAGAGAGAGAGAGAGAGAGAGAGAGGGAAAAGTCTCGCGCGTACATCACTCGTCAAATTGGTTTACCCTCTGTGAATTCAATTGAAATTACTTAATTAAGATGGCAGCCATTTAACGGAGCAGTCACTGTACATCAATTCGACGCAATTGTCGCGACCTCGATAAGAGAATTTGGAAAAGACGGGATGCACGCTCGTCTTTGCGTTTGATCGGAGGGTTACTTGCAATTAGCCCGCCGTTAATTCCAGCCCGCATTTTCACTGTCACTCAGCCAATGATCTTTTGACGTGTTACAGCTTTACTGTCCACAAGGCTCTCTCGTCCGATCGATCCTAGAAAGAATTCTTGCACATAAGGAAAATTGAAAAAAGAAGCAACCAAGATGCCTGCAAGATTTGAAAGTGTCGACAGCCCAATCGTGCGTGAACCCATTCCCAGCAACGGCGCACCGTACGTCCTCGACGACGACATCGTAATTTCTGGTATCTCCGGTAAGTTGATGCAGACAATTCGGAACGTCGATAGACTCTCTGATTGACTGTTTCCGATCGTTTACTCCTGCAGGTCGTTTACCAGAGTCGGCGAACATCGAGGAGTTCAAACAGCAGCTCTTCGAAGGCGTCGACTTGGTCACGGAAGATGACCGCCGTTGGACTCCGGGACTTCACGGACTTCCGACTCGAAATGGGAAACTTAAGGACTTGGCGTTCTTCGACTCGACCTTTTTCGGCGTCCACGCAAAGCAAGCTCACGTAATGGATCCACAGCTGAGGATGCTTCTCGAGTTGACTCACGAAGCCATCTTAGATGCCGGTGTTAATCCTGCGGAGCTTAGAGGATCAAACACCGGTGTTTTTATCGGTGTCTCTTCCTCGGAGTCTGACGAGTTCTGGACAAAAGACCCCGAAGAAGTGAACGGTACAGTGTCTACGCTTTATTATTCTTCTTTATGTCTGTCTCTCCCATATCCATGCACTCCATTAACGGCTCTTCTTGGTGGACAAATGCGGATTGCAGGTTACGGGCTGGTTGGATGCTGCCGAGCCATGTTCCCGAATCGAATTTCGTACACATTCGATTTCCGCGGGCCGAGCTTCGCGATAGACACCGCCTGCTCATCTTCGATGCTCGCGCTGCATTACGGGGTGACTGCGATACGTAGCGGAAAGTGCGATCAGGCCATCATCGGCGGAGCCAATCTGTTGCTGAAACCCACCACCTCCCTTCAGTTCCACAGACTCAGCATGTTGTCCAAAGATGGGAAATGCAAGGCCTTCGACTCTACCGGAAACGGATACGTCAGATCGGAAGCCGTAGTCGTGATATTTCTACAAAAGTCTAAGGATTCAAAAAGGATTTATGCCACTGTCATTAACACCGATACAAACACCGACGGTAACAAGGTTCAGGGAATCACGTATCCGAAAAGAGAAACACAGAGGGACCTAATTCGAAGTGTTTACTCGGAAGCAAACGTCGACCCCGCGGACGTAACCTATCTCGAAGCTCATGGCACCGGAACAAAAGTCGGCGATCCTCAAGAACTTAATGCTGTGACTGACGTTATCTGCAAGGACAGAAAGACTCCGCTGCTGATCGGCTCTGTTAAGTCAAACATGGGTCATTCTGAGCCCTCTAGTGGACTCTGCTCCATCGCTAAGGTTGTCATAGCCATGGAGTCTGGAATAATTCCGAGTAACTTACACTTTCAAAATCCGAATCCTGATATTCCCGCGTTAAACGACGGCAGGTTAAAAGTAGTCGATACAAACTTACCATGGAAAGGAGGAATCGTTGGAATAAACTCATTTGGTTTCGGAGGAGCAAACGTGCACGCTATTCTGCGCAGCAATCCAAAACCAAAGTTATCGCCTGTTCAGAACACCATACTTCCGAAACTCGTAGCGGTTTCTGGTCGCACTGAGAGCGCTGTTAACACCTTCTTGGACAGAGTCAAGCAGAATGAGAAAGACGACGAGTTCATTAACCTAGTGCACTCGATACATGCACGCAACATTTACGGTCATATCTATAGAGGCTTTCAGATTCTTGGTGAAAATCGTGAAATGGTCCGTGATATAGAAACCTCGACGTACGCAGAGAAGCGACCAATCTGGTATATTTTCTCAGGAATGGGCTCGCAATGGCCAGGCATGGGTAAGGAACTCTTTCCCATCCCAGTTTTCCAGGAGACTTTGCGCCGCTGTGCCAACGCTCTAAAGGCAGAAGGCGTTGATCTTCTGAATATCATCCAGAATGGAACGGAGGAGACTTTTGAAAATGTCCTCAACTCATTTGTTTCCATCGCGGCGATTCAGGTCTCTCTTGTCGACGTACTGAGCTCTGTTGGCATTCAGCCGGACGGCATCGTTGGACACTCGGTCGGTGAATTGGGCTGCGCCTACGCCGATGGTACCTTTACTCCAGAACAGACTGTGCTGGCAGCTTACTGGCGAGGAAAATCAATTCTGGAATCGCAACTCTCACCTGGAGGAATGGCCGCCGTTGGGCTCAGCTGGGAGGAAGTAACAAGAAGATGCCCCGCAGACATATCTCCAGCCTGCCACAACTCTTCAGACTCTGTAACCATCTCTGGTCCGGTCGAATCCATTAAAAAATTTGTTGCTGAATTACAAAAGGAGGAAATTTTTGCCAAAATTGTGAAGAGTTCGGGCGTTGCCTTTCACAGTAAATACATTGCCTCGGCTGGACCGAAGCTACGTAAGTGCCTCGAGAGGATCATCCCTAATCCGAAGCCCCGCACTTCACGATGGGTCTCAAGCTCCATTCCTGAGGCCGCCTGGGGAACACCTCTAGCACAATTGAGTTCGCCTGCTTACCACGTAAACAACCTCCTTTCACCAGTACTTTTCCAAGAAGCCCTAATTCATGTACCAGAGAATGCGATAGCCATCGAGATCGCTCCTCACTGCCTACTCCAGGCAATTCTTCGCAGATCTCTAAGCCCTGCGACAACGAATGTTGGACTTCACAAGCGTGACCACGGAGACAACCTTGGCTTCTTGTTGACAAGCCTCGGAAAGCTCTATAACGCTGGTGCACAGCCTCAAATTGCGAAGCTATATCCGCCCGTGAACTATCCTGTTGGTCGTGGCACCTCAATGATTAACTCTATCATCGAGTGGGATCATTCGGTTGAATGGAATGTAGCCGACTTTTCGGGAAAGAACGCTCGATCGGGTGAGAGCGTAATCGAGATCGACCTCTCAAAGGAGCAGGATGCATATTTAGCAGGACACACAATCGATGGAAGAATCCTCTTCCCAGCCACGGGATACCTTACACTTGTTTGGAAGACATTCGCCAAGTTGCATAGCGTTGAATTCGAGGAATTGCCCGTTATAATGGAAGACGTTCAGTTCCATAGGGCTACGATAATGCCCAAGGGTGGCAGCGTCAAATTCCTGATAAACATATTCGACGGAACCGGCGCCTTCGAGGTATGTGAAGGCGGTTCTGTTGCCGTTACGGGAAAAATCCGTACTCCTGAGAATATCGACAAGGAGTTTATCGAGATGCCTAAGCCAAGTATTAAGAAGGAGCCAGAGCTCCTCGATTTGAAGGAAAAAGACATATACAAGGACCTGCGTCTACGTGGTTACGACTATACTGGCGTCTTCCAAGGCATCAAATTGTCAGACAATCGCGGACGTGTCGGCAAGCTTTCCTGGTCTTCCGACTGGATATCCTTCGCCGACACTTTACTTCAGTTCTCAATCCTGGGAAAGGACACACGCGATCTTTACCTTCCAACAAGGCTGGACCGTGCTATCATCAATCCAGTCCTGCACAAACAACTACTTTCGGAACTACCTGAAGGCGAGTCTCTTTCGGTCTACAACTATCCGGAAGTAGGGATCATCAAATCGGGTGGAATCGAACTGAGAGGCATGAAGGCCTCGATGGCACCTCGAAGACAGCAGAACCAGGCGCCGCCTACGCACGAGAGATATACCTTTGTGCCCTACGAAAATCCGAACTTCCTTGCCGAAGATCCCGAGAAGGCCAAGGTGCACGCCCTTACGGTACTACTTCAGGTGGTTCGCGAGAACGCAGCTAGACTGAAATTGAAAGCCGTCGAAGTCGCCGGGGAGCGCGCAGCTGAAGCTCTCCTCGTGCCCGCGGTAATCGAGGCCCTCCAAGGAGAGCTCCAACTTACTGTAAGTTTTTCTCTTAACGTATTCCAGAGTTTGTCTTGTGTAATCACAGAGTCTTACGCTTTTCCTTCTTTCTCTTCTCTTTATTCAGACCGATCTACAAGTAGTTTCTACCTCTCCGGAAAGTTATAACTCTTTCTTGGAACCTTTCGGAATAAAAGTCGTAGTGCGGGACGCAACGAGCACACCGGTGGGTCAGGATCTACATTTAAGTATCGCCGCCGACGTGCTGTCGAACAAGAATGTCGTTGTTCTAAAGAATTTGGAGGCATCGTTGAAGCAAGGCGGTTTCGTGCTTCTCGAGGAGACAAGAAAAGTTGATAAGGCTCTCTTGAAACAGACGGGACTCATCTACGCTGGCTCTCAGAGTATACCTGGCAAAACTTATGTTCTTCTAAAGAAGAAGGAGCCAAAGTCTGAGCCTATTATCATTCAGATAACCGAAAAGAACTTTTCATGGGTCGAGGGTGTAAAGGCTGCCTTGAAGAAAGCTCAAAATGAGGAGCAGAAGATACTTCTTGTGAGCCAGGGCGAGGAAGTTCTGGGTATGGTCGGTTTAATGACGTGCCTTCGTCTAGAGGCCGGCGGAGAGAACGCACGCTACGTATTTATCCAGGATAAAAATGCAGCAAAGTTCAGCCTCTCTGGTTCCTTCTATGCTGAACAGCTCGACAAGCAGCTTGTTTCAAACGTTCTTAAGGGAGGACAGTGGGGTAGCTACAGGCATTTGAGCCTGGACCAGCAGAACGACGTTTCCTCCCTGCAGGTCGAGCACGCCTACATCAACTCTCTTATAAGAGGTGACTTGAGCAGCTTACGTTGGATCGAAGGTCCACTCAGCTACTATCGTCCTGAAAATTATCCCGATTCCGAATTGTGCAGCGTTTATTACGCGCCTTTGAACTTCAGGTAAGAAACCGAGACATTCGACCACACTTTTAACCATAATTCGTCTGAAAAACACCCTCCTATTCCATATATCGTTTGCAAGACTAGATAGCTAAATAATTGCACAAGCAGAAACGTCAAGTTAATCCTCTGTCTTACAGGGACATCATGCTTGCTACGGGAAAGCTGGCGCCTGACGCTCTTCCGGGAGACCTTGCTGGTCAGGATTGTATCTTGGGTCTGGAATTCGCCGGGCGAAACTCGAAAGGACAGCGCGTAATGGGAATGGTGCCAGCACGTAGTTTGGCGACAACTGTCCTCGCTGACCCTGGCTTTTTGTGGGAGATTCCTAACAAGTGGACTATCGAGGAGGCCGCTACAATCCCTGTGGTTTATTCAACGAGCTACTACGCGCTCTTCGTGCGTGGTCAACTAAAATCAGGTGAAAGCGTCCTTATACACGCTGGTACAGGAGGAGTAGGTCAAGCGAGTATTGCCATCGCTCTACACGCCGGTTGCAAGGTCTTCACCACTGTCGGCTCTCAAGCAAAGAGGGAGTTCCTCAAGAAAACGTTCCCCCAGCTGACTGACAGAAACATCGGAAACTCTCGAGACACGACCTTTGAACAGCTTGTTCTCTCGGAAACTGGTGGACGAGGAGTTGACGTAGTGCTAAATTCGTTGGCCGAGGAAAAACTCCAAGCGAGCGTGAGGTGTCTCGCAAAGGACGGTCGCTTCCTTGAAATTGGAAAGTTTGATCTTTCAAATAACGCAGCTCTGGGTATGGCCTTCTTCTTGAAAAATACGAGTTTCCATGGTATCCTCTTGGATGCGATCTTCGATTCTGATGCCGTCAAAAAGGAGGTGGTGCGCCTCGTAAGCGAAGGAATAAAGAACGGTGCAGTGCGTCCTCTTCCATCGACTGTCTTCTCTGAGCAACAAATCGAACAAGGATTCAGATATATGGCTAGTGGAAAACATATTGGAAAGGTTCTTCTGAAAATTCGCGACGAGGAACCTAAGAAAGTTGTTATGCCGGCACCGAAGACAGTAGCAGCGATTCCACGCACGTACATGAATCCAGAGAAGTCGTACGTCCTCGTCGGAGGCCTCGGAGGCTTTGGTCTTGAGCTCGCCAACTGGATGATTACACGTGGTGCTAAAAATATTGTTCTGACATCCCGTTCAGGTATTCGCACCGGTTATCAGGCTGTGTGTGTCCGTCGTTGGCGCGAAATCGGTGTTAATGTCATCATCTCCACCGCCGATGTGTCCACCATCTCTAGTGCTGAGCAGCTCATTAAAGAAACTAATAAGATTGCTCCGGTTGGTGGCATATTTAACCTGGCTGCGGTACTACGCGACGCTCTAATCGAGAATTTGACGGAAGCCGATTTTAAGGCGGTCGCTTTGCCAAAGATAGATGCAACCAAAAACCTGGATGTAGTTTCCAGAAAATTCTGTCCCTCGTTGGATTACTTTGTCATCTTCTCATCTGTTTCCTGCGGACGAGGAAACGCTGGTCAGACAAATTATGGATTGGCCAATTCCAGCATGGAAAGGATCGTCGAGCAGAGACAAGCCAGCGGATTACCAGGTCTTGCTATTCAATGGGGAGCCATCGGAGACGTTGGTCTCGTAATTGGTAAGCTCATGAAATCCCTCAAAAGTATCCGTTTCTCTATCTTCGAATCCGAATATTTATTATTGTATTGCTCTGTACTTTGCGTTCTATTGCTCAACAAATTCTATTTCTTCTAATAGGAAGAGCTTAATCGTTCTTGTTTCGTTACAGAAACGTTGGGCGACAATGACACCGAGGTAGGTGGAACTGTACCTCAGCGGATGCAGAGTTGTTTAGCAACGATGGACAAGTTCTTGCAACAGCCTCACCCAGTCCTTTCAAGTGTGGTCCATGCTGATTTACAAAAATCTAGCGATTCCGGAAACGAGGTCGGACTCCTTGAGGCCGTGGCCAACATTCTTGGTATCAAGGATTTGAACACCGTTAATCGAAACACTAATTTATCTGATATCGGAATGGACTCCCTTATGGGAACGGAGATCAAACAAACTCTTGAAAGAAATTTTGATCTGATCCTTTCGGCCCAGGAAATCCGTGCACTGACATTCAGTAAACTTGAAGAGTTATCTGTCGGAACAGTGGAATCAGCTGAGACGACGAACCCACCACCAACTGCTAGCACTACGAACACCTCCGAAAACAGTGTTAATGAGTTACTCTTCCAGTTCAGCGGTGCGGAAATTGTTCCCAAGCAATCGCTCATTCGCATGGAGTCGAAAGGCCAGTCTGGCTCACCGGTCTTCGTGATACACGCTATCGAAGGAATGGTCACTTGCCTGAAGACTCTTGCAAGTGAATTAAATAGACCCGTTTGGGGTTTGCAGTGCACGAAGAATACTCCTCTCGATTCTATATCCGATCTAGCAACATTTTACATGCAGCTGATCAAGACTGTCCAGAGTAAGGGGCCGTATACGATTGTCGGCTATTCCTTCGGAGCATGCGTGGGCTTCGAAATGGCATTGCAATTCGAATCGCAAGGTGACAGCACCATTCTGACACTTCTCGATGGCTCACCCCAGTACATCCTCGAGCACACCAAGTCGATCAGTAAACAATTCGGAAACTCCCTGGTGCTTGGAAATGACGTTACCCATGGGGACCGCATGGCTTTCGCCTTCTTCGTCAACCAGACTAATCCGAGTGTCGGAATCCAGCAGGTCTGTACATTCATTTATTACTCGTTAAAAACATATCAATCGATATTACTAAAATATGCACCGGCAATTCTTTGTCAACCAATGTTTAAATTAATCTTTTCGTTTCTCAGATATTTGCAGTCTTAGAGGCAGCGAAGACAGATGAAGAAGCGCTTAATAAAGTTGTTGAACTTATCGGAGATGTGCCCTTCGAAGCTGAGGACTTGAAGACCGCGGCCTTCCTTTTCTACAAAAAGTTGCAGGCAGCGAACCTCTACAGGCCCGGTGGTAAATACAACGGCCCAATTACCCTAATCAAAGCCAAGGACAACTTTGTCTCGCTAAATGATGACTACGGTCTCTCTGAGGTAAATACTGCTAAAAATCAGAAAGGTTCTTCCCTTCTGTATAACACAATTTTCATATTTTTATTTTCTAAATTTTTAGATTTGCGCTCAAAAAATTGCAATTAAAGAACTAGCTGGAAACCATCGAACCATCCTACAGGGCGAGAGCGTAAAGAAAATTGCTCAGTCCGTGCAAGCGTAGAGTCTTGGAGATTTCGAGAAGGATACTTGAAAATAGACCAATGCGCCAGTCTCGATACTCTATACAGCAACGCCTATAAATACATTACATTACTAAAATTTTTCTTAATAATCCTGGTCGCACGAGATTGCCAGTACTTTCTCGCATTCGTGTTTTCTTCTCATCCACACTTAGTTCGCACACAACGTTAGTGTCAAGCACTAACGAGTCTCAGCGTATCAACATCACCATCAACTGTAGTTCTATTTCTACATTAGTCATCATAATCATCGATCATTAAATTTAGAACGTTACGTCCATGTTCCTTTTGTATAAAAATATCTTCTTGGGTAACTCCCCGAGCTTTATTTCATGTATCATAAGATCGCATCTACGAGCTCTCAGGTATTTCTCTAAAATGGACCTATATGTGCAACCTGAGAAAACGAGATGACGGTCGTAGTAGATTTCTTTCGTGGTTTATTAGTCATTAAGTAGCGACAAAAGACTATTGCTATTTCTTACATGGATACGATCACGACTCGGAAGCAAAACCAAGTACAATTGAGTAATCTTAAGAGTCATAAGTCTTGAGCGAACGAACAAATGAAAATAAGATAGAAAGAGACAGTAGGCAAGGGCCTAAAAGAAAAATGGTGAAAAATGATGTCAGAGAATATAAAAAAAGAAGTTCCTATACGATTTTACAATGATCTCCAGTGGACAGGATTTCATCGCCAAGTTGTATGGGATGTGTGATTACGAGTTTATTTATTTTGTTAAAGCTGCCATAAACTAGGCAAGTTATCCATGATATTATGGAGTGACACTTCCGTTGTGATCGCGGTGAACCATGACATTCCTTAAAGCCGCTTAACGTTTTTCATGTTCATTGTAGTCATAATAATAATAATAATAATAATAATAATAATAATTAATGAACGAGACCAATACCCTTCAGTGAAAACTCATTCGAATGAATCGAAGATAGTTCATTGCCAAAAGAAAGTTGAGAACATCACTATATTGTGTATATATTATACTGGGGTTGTACGTCGTTTGTAAAATACACGCGTGAATATGTTATTGTATTTAAAAAAATTATTTTCAATTTATGTTCTTTAGGTTTGCTAGAACATATGTATACTATCGAATTGTAATGGTATTCAAGATACATTCCTGTAAGAAATGGAAGAGAAAATAAAAAGTATATATATGAATAATAATGTATATGTATATATGCACACAATTTACAAAGAGAAGACGTATGCATGCTCTTACACAAAGAAGCATTTTTATGGACGAGCCAACAAATCATGTAACAGGCCGTGTGCACGCAATTGATTATATCTATTCGCGAATCGTGGAAATTAATAACTCGATAAAACAGAATATTTTAAGAATATTTATTTCGAACCCTTCTTTCTCCTTATCAAAAATAAAATAAATGATTTGACCACTACAGATTAATGACAATATATGGCCTTTTTTTCTAGAAAAACCTTTATTACTATTATATCGTATAAAGGTAACATTGTACATTTTATATACAATTAGTAGGAATGTGGTTTTATTCAGTTTGACGTTGAACTGCATTTAGAACTTTTTGGTCTTTTCAATTCTCTTTTACTTGCTTACCAATCATTGCGTAACCCAAAAAGTACAGTTATGTACCAGCAATCAGATTATTTTATTACTTTATCATCTGAGCTACCAAACTATATTGCTGAAAATTTTATCAAGAATCCAAATGATACTTTTCAGTATAATGGAACTTAATCAAATTGGAACTACATTAATCGTGAATTCGAAAATTTTTAGAACTTGGATCAGAAATGGCTGATTCGATGTTACATGTGAATGATACTGTTAAAGCATACCGTGTGCCTGTTGTTACCTTCTCAACTGCATGCAAGTTTTCACTTCCTGAGGTGAACATAGAGACACGCCCTAGAAATATGTATATCCTAGTTAATTCTAGTTAATAATGCATGTTTCTTTAAAAAATAGGAAGTTACTAATATATTACCTTTTCGTGGTTCTACTGTTGTGTTTACATTGTTCTTATCTACGAAAAGAAAACGACCTCCTTCAAAGTCTCTACCAAAGTCATTTAAATATAAGAGTGATGTGTAATGAAAGGATTCATAAGTCTCCTAAAACAAAGAACAGTACCATCATAAGTTTAGCTGAAAATCCATATCATTTGACAATAATCAAAATACATATATATTTTGTATACCTTATCCACGTGAGGATGCCAATATTCGTCATGCTCAGTTTTTGCGGATGCATTAGTCATACGCGAAAAAAAAGTTGGATGTGTCAAATATATTTCATGTGCATTAACACCAAAATTATGTGCAACAGCATGTTGAATTTTAGTTTTGACCACTCTGCAGATGGAGCAATTGATAACTGTTATCTAATAACTTCCACATATATATGGATTTATGGAAATTGTAAAAAGTTTCATACTTGTAAATAGCAAAATCTGCACTATTGAAAACTTTATTCACAGCATCAAGTGCATAAACATTGATAAATCCAGATCCCTTGCTCAGGGCCCCAGAATGAAGATCAAGAATGCTTGCTCCTCCATCGGATCCTCCAAAACTCATTCCAACTGTAGCAATTTTCAATAAGACATCTGTCTCCGTAGAAGTCACCAGTTTGTCCATAACTGATCTGCCACATTTCTCTGGTACACAGCTTGGATATTTATCTAGCTCTATTTTATAGTCGTCTGAGCAAGGAACATTTTGAATTCGACTAAATAGAACATCTTTCTGTTTTGCAAAAGAAACCTCTTTGCCATTTCTACTGTTATACCAAACAATGAATAGGACACCAAGAATCAAAACGCCACGGGACCATACCCTTTGGTACGGAAACGTTAATACTGGTCCATATTTTCTGGAAAAACAAGGTTTTTGCTGAGAATGCTGGTACAAAGCGGTTTAATTTCTCAGACTCAAATAATTCTTCGATATTTTAATGAATTTATGTTTAAGCACTCACAGCTTGACATCTTCTTCTATGGCACTTTGTGGCTGCTCGTTATTTGACAACTTTACTTTTTTTACCTCTTTTCGACTAATTTTCTTCACGTTTTGAGGCATATCTTCCAATCAGGAATGTGACAGTTGAATGCCAATCAGGAATATGAATCAAGTGCTATCAATTCAGTGAGATTCTACAACAAATCACAGATTAAATAAAATACCAATCAATACTTAACACGCCACAGATGAAAAATACGACATTCACTGGGTATTTGATGTATTTACACCTGTACTTGATCTACGCTATTCCCTCCGACATGTTGAACCTATTCTATCGAATTTAAAAGTAATTCAGACGAGTATAGGTGGCTGTACCGCGTAATTAGTTTCACGATTAACCAAAGACGCTCCTTAAAAAATACTATCATTGTGGGAATCTGATATTATTAAAAAAATAAAAGAAAAATTTTCACAAGGGAAAATGAAAATACGATAAAAGTAGTGAGAATCACTTTTTTTCATGCTGATACAAACAATTCAAATGTGAAAGGTTCACAATAGTCAAAGGGGTTCTCATTTCTTTCCTATTGCGACCGGTCAGAAAAATGGGATTCCAACAACATTCTGAACTATCTGTCGCAATGAGAATTACTAATTGAAAATGAGACAGTCTTTGTTGGAATATTATTTTTTATTCTTGATACAGATACTTGTATGGGCAAATAGATTGAAAAACAAGTTTGTACGCACGTGCATCCACGTCGTGTGTAAATACAAATGTAATGTACACGAAAATATGCGCGTGCACATATGCCTACCAGCAATGTATGCTATGTTACTGTAAAAGGTTTGTTCTAAATCGATTACGCGGCGGCGTTTTTATAAGAATCGGCTTTCCTGAAAGGACGTCGCCTGAGGAATAAGAGGCTGGAAGGACATCTACATGGGACCTTCTATCAGACTGATCTTCATTGTACAATAGTAGACGCTTCTACCCAGGCATAGAAGCGCTATTAAAAATGCTCCGACGTACGCCACGTAGATCCCACCGTTTGTTCTCACCAGTGTATATGTGCCAGCCTGATTGAAAAGAAAAAACGAAAAATTATCCTGAGATAAAAATCCTTTTAAATATAATTGCTTGTTAAATCCTATCCAACACCAGTTGCTGGTCAATTGGAAATAGGTCTATTGTCTGTATTCCATTTTAAGAAACTTACTGTCACGGCAATACCAATGATTAATGCAACTATTCCAATGACTATAAATGCAATGCCTCGACCTCTAGCAAAGTCTGGACCAACGGAAGATACTTTGCGGCAATGTGGACATCGGGCTAGAGCGTTATTAAGTGTATTAAACTGTAACATAAAATTCATACAAACTGATACACCACAATCATTTTCCAGTGAAAGTAATATAGCACAGAATTCCTACCAAAAATGTATCATGGCAATGAGCACAGCAAACCCTGCACATTCCAGGCATGGAGAGTACAGGTGGTGTAACTGGACTTGGTGCAAGGTTGATTATACGCTTGCAATTTGGTCTTGGACAAGCAATACGCTGTGATGAACTTTTACATATTAATAAACAATTACATGGACAGCGTACATACTTTTTTCCTGGTGGGGCATTCCTTATGGGCTGTAAAGAAATATCTTTTCTTATAATGGCATTGTTTTTTCATATATATGGAAAGAATCAAAGCAGAAATTGAAAGACAACGTACGGTCGCTTCATTGCACTGACAACATTTGACAACATGCTGATCACGCTTGCCGGATATGTCAATCATTGCTTGACAAACTCTACAAGTGACCATCGGTACACCACTCTGGTTCGCAGATTGATAGGGCGGTGGTAATTCATCTGGTCCGATCGGCGAAACTGTGTTCACCGTTGACTGTGCTTCATCTAGGCAAAGAGTAATGAAAATTTAAATTTGAAATATCATTGAACAGAGCAAGGTACAAACGTACGATGCAAGGGTGGGTACGATTATATTGTACAATTATTTACCTATAACATCACTCCCGTGGGAACTGTAGGTGACGTTATCATTTTTGAGCAAGGGCTGTCGTTCGCCCTCCTTGCCGTCGCCCATAGTGTTCACCGCTGTGCTCTAGGCCCTTCCGTGACAAGGGTATACTTCGGCAAGGAACTTTGACAGTACTCAGATGACAACGATGACAAAATACAAAACCTTCTCCACTGACACCTATACAGCATGGGTATAATCTAGATGGTAAATTGCACTATACTAGGACAACTTCGGACAACTTCTGAATGTATCAGAGTACGTTCCGAAATTGACTGTTGCTACGACCATGACTACGACGAGACAGATTTATTTCTCTTAGGTATTACGGATGAATAGAGACGTTACTTATCTCGCTGTATTGTCAGTGAATTATGCAATGTGATTAAAGAATATCAAGTCGCTCAATTTGTGGATTATGTGCAGCAGTGTGCAGTGATCACCAGTGAGTACGGAGATAATAGCAGCGTACACTGCTCGGTAATCAATGAGTCGTTATCTCTGTATACTAGTGACTCAGCGCCGTGAGTATGTATATTGTACTGTTGTTCAAATATATGGAATTACCTCCTGAAGTGGATAAATCCCAATTTAAAGAGAGAAGACGAAGAAGAAGAAGACAAGAAATTATAAATTCGATTCATGGCTACTTTGGAGGATAAAATTCTCGGTGAAAAATTGCAGTATTACTGCAGTAGCTCCAGCGAAGATGAGGGAAATGATTTCGCGAATTCAGACAATGAAGAAAATATTAAAGGCTCTGATGAGCCTCCACAGTATACATCTGAATATTCCGATTGGGATGGTACTTCCAGTAACACAGGTCCCAAAGGCGTCATTAAAGATTGGCAGAGATTTAAGCAGCTCGAAGTGGAAAAACGAGCTGAGCAAGAAAGAGAAAGAATTGAACTCATGAAAAAACTTACCTTGACCTGTCGAAGTGCATTGGATGAAGAGAAAGAAAAATTATGTGAAACGGATCCTGATCTAGCAGAATTATTGACTGATGAGTTTCTTCTTGACTATCAAAAGCAACGTATGAAAGAGATGCTAGACAAAGCAGAACGTCTTCGTTTTGGCACTGTTTATACACTTACAACTGCCAATGAATTTCTAGAAGCAATTGATGGAGAAGATGAATCTGTTACTGTAATTATTCATATTTATGAAGAGAACATTCCAGGATGCACCGCTATGAATGGATGCTTAACATCATTGGCTGAAGAATATCCTCATGTTAAATTCTGTAGGATACTGGGTATGGCTCCACACCTTATAATTATTTTTATATTCATTATTACATTTTTTATATCAAGTCTTTTGTTCCAGGCTCCATTGCAGGTCTTAGTAAACATTTCAAAAAAGAAGGGGTACCAGCATTACTTGTATATAAGAAGGGCCAAGTAATTGGAAACTTTATCCGTGTTACTGACAACTTAGGGGTTGATTTTTATGCCTCAGATGTTGAAAGTTTCCTGATAGAGCATGGAATGCTGAATAATAAGAATTGCATTCCTACCATCATTTCTCAAATCCAAACCAGAGATTCAGAAAGTGACTAAATCTATACTATAAGGGACATTTTTTTCTCTAACAATAAGGCATTTTCTTACTATTTTGAAAAAAAATGTTTCAGCTATAATTATAGTGTTCAAGTATTATTTGTCATTTAATCATATAGCAATGAAAGAATATTAGTAACAATTTTTTCAGCATTAGCAATGTCTATGTGTATCTTATACTTCTAGTCACATGTTATGCTAATGAATAAAAAGTAGCTGGTGTAATTTTTTTTAATAAAAACTTTATGTTTATTTTTCATCCCGTAAAATTTGTAACATATACTTTTTCTTTTGAATGGCTTTACAAAGTTCCTGATGTTCCTTAACAATTGTATAAAATTCTGTACCTTCAAGATCCTCATACTGTTTTCTTAATGCTATATTCTTATTGAGCTCTGCTTCAGCATTGCTCAATTGAGTATCGAGTTTTCCATTCAAAATTCGGAAAGCATCAATAGTCACAGGCGTTTCTTTGAACATCTTTATAGTGCACACCAATTTACTAATCTTAATTTGCAATAGAGACACTTCTGCTTGTTGTGAAAGATATTGTACAAGTTTTGCATTCATTGCAGTAACGTCTGTCTGCTTTAACATTATCCATTCATTGAGCAGATGGCTGCATGTTATGAGTTTCTTTTCATATTCTATACAAATTTCATGTATCTTCTTCCAATATTGCAAGTCAAAAGGCTGACTCTCTAAGATCTTGTTACTTTTGGATTCATTTTTTTTCATTAATTCTTTCAAGTTCCCCCCTGTATTCTCATATCTGAAATAGTCAAAAGTACACAAGTTTGGTATATTAGCCTTTGCTAATGCATCATGTCGTTATATACTTACAACAATAAAAAACTATGTATCTTTTCACGTAACCTAGATTCAACTATGCTCTTTATATTTAATTTTTCTTCATATGTCAGTTTCACCTTGGGTAAATCAAATAATCCTAATAATTTCAGTTCCTCATTGCAGTCCTTGGAATCACCTGGTAGATGTAAATACTTCTTGGCCTCGTGATTTAAGACTAATTGTCTTAATTTTTTTAAAACATCATCTGATACTGAATCATTAACATTTAAGCTAGATTCCATAATGCATTCAAAAATTAATTTCAATTGGGCAAACTCTGCTATACTGTTTTCACACAAAGAAAAATTTTTTATAGCATTTTTTAAACCCAAGGATGCATCTTTGCTGGATTCTTGTGCAACACTTTCTTGACTTTCCGTTAGATGTAGTGAGTCTATTTTCTCAGTATATTGGCTACTGGAGTGAGAAATACGAGATATTCCAGAGATTCCTGAAAAGAAAACAAATACCTTAATGACTTTATAAAAGAAGAAAACAATTTAACAATGATTGATACAGTTCTATTGATAACAAAATATTTTAAGCTTGGTAATTTATAATTTAAATCTTTATTACCTGGTATTAAGTCATTGAAGCTATTCATAGTTCTGCATAAAAGTATCAATAGGTATCTAACAACGGTATGTAATCAAATCACAGGCTAACAGTTAGAGGTAGTTGAATGTAGTTACAGGTAGTTAAACTCGGTAGAAATCGGAAATGATCGGAGTGATAATCTGCGTGTAGCACAGTGTGCGAATTGCCATGTTTGGCTGCATCAGGCTGCATTCTTAACAGGCGACAATGTTTGAACGCAGAGCTTCGATTGGTAAAAAAATATAGTGGAAAGGAATTTTACATTTTCCGCTAATCAATTAGTTTCCAACTAATACGCTCTCGGCACTTGACACTGGTGCCTATATAAAGATCCTGTCTAAAGTATTTTTAGCATCTTTAGTGTGATTCTCGTTCGACGGTTTAAATACGCTCCGTGTGGTTAAATCACAGAGGGTGGTAGAGGCAGCCTACTCCATTGGCCTGTTTCCTCGGTATCTCTCTCTCTGCGCCCCCCCCCCCC